TTATTTATTTATGATTAACATAAAAATGAGAAAAATATAAAATATAACATAATAGTGGGATTTGATTTCGGTTTTACTATTTTATTTTTTTTCCTAAAAATATTAAATTAAACATTCATTTTTTGTTTATTATATTATATTAAAATTAAATTTTACATTCAAAACATCACATCAATATATGTTTATATCATATTAAACAATTATTTCAATTTAAAATTTCAGATTCAAAATAACAAAACCAAAACCAAAATAAAAAATTTATAAGTAAACATTGCCTCCAAAAAAAAAAATAATAATTAAAAACTTAATTAATTAATTATTACTCAAAATTTTAAAAATTAATTTTTTTTAAAAAAAAAAATCTATACAAATACATTACAATTTTATTTTAAAATATTATATTTTTCTACGTACTTTTCAATAATTTTATTTTATCTAATTTTATAATTTAAAAATAAAATAATATTAATTTTATAAAATAGTAAAGATAATGGAATGGATGTAACAATTACAACGGATGTTAAAAAAATAATTTAAATATTGCTGTGAATATGATGTGGATGAGATAGATAAATAAAGTACTCCCTTCATCCCTGTTAATTTGTCCTATTTAGATTAGGCATACAGAATTTTAGATATTGTGTAATTACGAGTAATTAAGAAATGTATTAGTAAAAATAATTATAATTTAATAAAAATAATTTTATATTAAGATTAATATGATTAAATAGTTTAATTAAAATTAAAAAAATTATAAATTATGAATTTTAAAATATGATTAAAGTGTATAATTGTATTTTAAAAAATAAGAAAAACTTTAGTTGGACAGATGAAAATAAAAATAGTGGACAAATTAAGTGAGTAATAAATTAAAATAAATCACTACAACATATAGTCTAAAATTATTTAAAACTACCAGTATAAATTATCTCTATATAAAACACATGCTTTTATAGTAATTTCTTATTTACTACCTAATAACTAGTGTTTGTTTAACACAATGCACTTACTTAAATTGACAAATAATAATACTCTCTCCATCCATAAGGGTGACGTTTGCTTTTTTTCACGTAAATTTTTTAATATTAGTATTATAATGAATTGTAGTGAAGAGGACGAAAATACTCCATATTAGTATTGTGTAATATAAAAATAATGATATTTGTGTAATATAGTGTAAGTTAGAAGGGTATTTATTATGTTAAGTACGTAGTACAATTACTAAATTATGAAATGATAACCTTGTTTTGGGACGGACGAAAATAGAAAATTGCAACATTTCAATAAGATGGAGTGAGTATAATAACTACTAAGAGCAATGCTACATTAATTAGGGTAATACCATGATTTTTTTATCCAAATTTATTTTTCAATTGTGATTCCTAAAAAATAATGCTCATTCCGTTCCATAAATATAGTTTTAATTGAGTTGGGTACGGAATTTAAGAAATATTGATATTATATTGGTAGTGGGTAAAAAGTATAGATAAAAAACTCTTTTGCCCTTATAAGTGTAATAGTATAAAAAGTAGTGGCAATTGTGTAATAAAAATGAAAAAATATGGGTAGTTTTATGGTGATATGGTTATTTATGGAAATAAGACTATTATTTTGGGACGATAAAAAATGGTAAACAAGACTATTGTATTGGGGACAGATGGAGTAATAAATAATACAAAGGGAAAAAATCAATTTTGGTTCCAATATAATTAAAATTAATCAATTCTGGTCAAAATATAAAAAATTCATCAATTTTGGTCCCAATATAACCAAAATTTATCAATTTTGGTCCCAATATAAAAAACTCATCAATTTTGGTCACAATATAAACAATTTCAATCAATTTTGGTCCAATTATAAACAATTTTTTTATCAATTTTGGTCCCACCGTTAAAAAACTAATGGAAATTGCTGACGTGGACATGACGGAGGTGACGTGGCAATTGACCTGAAAAGTACACGGCTTTATACAATTATACACAGCCATGTTATTACATGACCATGTATATTTCAGTGTATAAATTTATACATGACCATGTTGTTACACGGTCATGTACAATTATACACGGCCATGTTGTTATAGGGTCATGTATATTTCAGTGTATAAACAACATGGTCATGTATAATTCTACACGGCCGTGTATCTTTCTGTTTCGATTTAAAATTTTAATTTTTTGTTATATTTTTAAATTTTTTTTTTGAATTTAGAATAATTGATATAGTTAAAATGGAAAAAAAAAATAATAATCATAATATAATTAAAATATATCAATTTTAGTTCAAATATAAGTATTTATGAGTATGTTCTTTTGGAAGATTTTGTCTAAAATTATACTATTTAGCAAAAATTTCAATACATTAATTGGATGTTTGTAAGAGAAATTTTTTTGCTAAATAGTAGAATTTTAGACAAAATCTTCCAAAAGAACATACTCGATAAATACTTATATTTGAATTAAAATTTATATATTTTAATTATATTATGACTATTATTATTATTTTTTTCCATTTTAACTATATCAACTATTCTAAACTCAAAAAAAAAAAAATTAAAAATATAACAAAAAATTAAAATTTTAGACCGAAACAAAAAGATATACGGCCGTGTAGAATTATACATGGCCGTATAACAACATGGTCATGTATAATTATACACTGAAATATACAACAACATGACCATGTATAATTGTACATGGCCGTGTAACAACATGACCATGTATAATTATACATTAAAATATACATGGCCCTATAACAACATGACCGTGTATAATTGTACATGGTCGTGTAACAACATGACCATGTATAATTATATACTGAAATATACATGGCCCTACAACAACATGACCGTGTATAATTGTATATGGTCGTGTAACAACATGACCATGTATAAATTATACACTAAAATATACATGGTCATGTAACAAGATGGCCGTGTATAATTGTACATGGTCTTGTACTTTTCAAGTCAACTGCCACGTCACCTCCGTCATGTCCACGTCAGCAATTTCCGTTAATTTTTTAACGGTGGGACCAAAATTGATAAAAATTGTTTATAATGAGATCAAAATTGATTGAAATTGTTTATATTGGGACCAAAATTGATGAGTTTTTTATATTGAGACCAAAATTGATAAATTTTGGTTATATTAGAACCAAAATTGATGAATTTTTTATATTGAGACCAAAATTGATTAATTTTGATTATATTGGGACCAAAATTGATTTTTTTCCTAATACAAAATACATTCTATAAAAGTCAAAAAGTTAAAAGAAAATTCAAATACTTCTTAAAAAAGAGAAAAAAATCAAAATATTCAATTTAAAATAATATATTTTTATTTTTATTTTTTGACACAATTATCTCTGCTACACACTAAAAATTAATTCATCTAAAAATGTTGATGAATGAAGTCCATTATTCATCACATCATTTATTTTGTTACTTAAAGATTAGTAATTTGTTTACGGTAGCTTTGGATTGAAAATTGTAATATTTTAAATTGTAGTAGTTATTTGATTCAATATAAATAATAAATATTATTTTAATTGTAAAATTGAATTTTAATTTATTATAAACATGTACTATTGTTTTGATGTTTTTGAAAAAAAAAATAGTTAAATTGGATTTTAAACTCACAAACAAACGTAGCTTAGGATGTTGAACACAATTATATATTTTAATTTTGTGTTTTATGATAAATTAGAAATCATGAAAATTAAATAATAAAAAAATGAAATAATAGTATCAATATATATATATTATAATTTTATTCTAAATTAAATTAAGGGCATGTTTGAATTGATTTTAAAAAATAAATAAAAGCCGAATGCAGAAGTAGAACTAAGAACAAAAGCAGTTCGGTTTTACATTTAAATGAATAATTATAAAGAAGTTTTTTTATAAAAAAATTATTTGAATATAATAAAGTCGAAATTGCTCTTAAACAAAAATTAATGCACTGTATGTATTCTTTATTTTTATATTTTCTACACAATTTCATATACTTCACATAAACAAATTTTCTTCTCAATAATCTCACGAAACAAACACACATTTTTTAATTTATTTTAAAATTTTATAAACTATATTAAAAATTTTAAATTATCTATACTAATTGAAAATATATTTATTAAATTTTATCTATAAATTATATTTGTATTTTTTTTATTTTTTATAAAAATAAAATTTTAAAACATAATTAGATTTAAATAAATTTTACTCTATAAATTATTTTAACTTTATAAATTGTATTTAAAAATATTAAATTATTTACTATATAATTAAAATTTATATTTTTAAAATTTGATATTTTCAATTATATATTTTAAATTTAATTATTATGAAATATATAAATTAATAATTAAAATACATTTATATTTAAATTTAATATAATTGAATTATTTCTGTTTTTATTTTATCTTATTTATTTAATTAGTTATTATTATTATTATTATTATTATTATGGTTAAAATTATAATTTAGATAACAAAACAATTTCTACTTATTTAGAAGCACCACCTAATGTGCTTTTTTAAAAAAGCATGTTTGGAGCCTAAAAACTGGTTCTGCTTTTGATGAGAAGCTAATGCAAAATTTACCAAAAATACTTTTTTATGAATTTTCATTCGTCAAAACTCTCTTTTTATCGGTTAATCATTTATTTTTGTTTGATCATTCATATATCTATATTTTTGTTTTAAATTTCTGAAATAAATTCTCTATTTTATCAAGGAGGAGAATTAATTCTCATTCTTTACTCAATTTCATTTATCTTCATGTTATCATTATACCTATAGATATATATATTTTTATTTAAATTGTTTTATTATTTAAAAATGAAAAAGAAACGCAGATAGACAGATCAGAAAAGAAAAAAAACCCTTTCCACTAATATACATCAAAATGAGGGATCTTTCTGCAATTTGGCGGACTTGAAATATTATTCTTAAATATAAAAAATAATCGAAAATATATAAACCAGAAACCCTAGTCACCATTTTCCCTGTTGTTTTCACCGCACAGTTCTAGCTGCCTACCCCACCGCCTCCCCCCCCTCTCTCTCTCTCTCTCTCTCTCTCTCTCTCGGTCGTGCCGTCGCCTCTGTGGTTCTCACTCTCACTCCGCCCTTGGTGCTTCTGTAGAGTGGCGGACTGGAGAAGGTAAGCTTATCCTTAGATTTTTTGGTTTAACTGAAGTTTGGTTGTTGCCCATGAGTTTTTTTTTAGCGTATCTGTGGTGTTTCTGCTTGAATCGGTGGGGGCTTTTGTACGTAACTTGGTTTAATGGACGAAATCTTTTGATTGCTCGATGACTGCATGTTTGTCGCTGTGAAGTTGTGGTGACGATGCTAATTGGTTACTGGTTTGGAGATGTGTAGCGAAATGTGGTTCTAATATAGGATTTGTGTTAATCTGGAGGATGTTCTAAATGTGCTGCGTGTTTATACGAAATTGTGGTGTTTTACTATGTTGTCGTGTGTTAAGTTGGGTGAGTTGCTGCTGGAGGAAAGGACCTAGCCCTAGGCGGGTTGAGCTCCCTTCGGATCTGGTTATTTTAACAAGAAAAGGCCCGGTGGCCATCTTTTTCTTGGATGATCAGAGTAGATTCTCTTATGGCGGTGGCCATCTTTTTCTTGGATGATCAGAGTAGATTCTCTTATGGCGGTGGCATCATTTTCTTGGATAGATCAGAGTAGATTCTCTCTTGGCGGTGTCTAACGTTATCTGGGAGGATAATTCATGAGTAACTGGCATAAGATGTTTAATAAGTCAGGAACTTTCCATGTATTTCATGAGCTGTGATTCTCTTTGCTCCCGGATTTGATGAATAATAAATACTAGATAACGGATTAACCTGACAACAGCCGTACCGAGACTAACGAAATTAACCGCCAACGGTATACCGGTTTGCCACGTAGTGGTTCCATAATTAATTTGCTTTCCGTCTTTGTATACGCTAAATAGTTTCTTTACACGTGGATGCTAGATCATCGAAGAGTTTATAATCTGGCATTATCATTTATGATTTCAATATGACCTTTCTATTTGCCCAATGCAGGATCGCACACGTGCCTTTCGTGGTCTTGGATTTTACTGATATTAAGTGTATGCGAGGTACACAATGGGATTCGATATCGAGTGCATAATTGATATACACACCTATCCTGGGGAGTACTTTTGCCCTGTTTGTCGGACACTCGTCTATCCAAACGAGGCATTTCAGTCGCAGTGTACTCATTTATACTGCAAACCATGCTTGGCGCACATTGCAAATGGTACAAAGGCTTGCCCTTATGACGGATACCTTGTGACTGAAGCTGACTCTAAGGTTGTCTGTCTTTTTATTTATGGGTGAGTATTAATAATTAACTATTGTGCTATTTTCTGACATGACTAATCTTGTTGGCAGCCGCTTAAGGACTCTGATAAAACACTGGCAGAAAATATTGGCAAAGTCAAAGTTCATTGCCTCTACTTCCGGAGTGGCTGCACATGGGAGGGATCGCTTTCTGATTGCAGCTCCCATTGCTCTTTATGTTCCTTCGGTAACTCACCTGTCATATGCAACAGATGTGGAATCCAAATTGTGCATCGTCAAGTGCATGATCATGCTCAGAGTTGCCTGGTAAGTGTCTATTTATACTTCCTTAAAAGATGATAAAGCTCTATGCTATTCTTATCTTTTTCTTTTAACATCAGGCCTTGTATGGAGCTCAACAGGCTGTTGCGATTGTCGCAACCACAACTAGGCCTGGCACAGCTGCGGCTGCTGTTACTGCAGAGACTAATCAGACTGTTTCCCAATCTGGAGCGCTGACTCAGGTCCAGACTCAGAACGTTGCTGCTACTCTAGCTACTGGTCAAAATCCAATTCAGCAAGTAAATGCCAACTCTCAAGCTCCTGCCACTGCTCCAGTTAATGTGCCTACCCCAGATCAGTGGTATCAACAACAATATCAGCAATATTACCAGCAGTATATGGGATATTATCAGCAGCAGCCCGCTCAACAATACTACCAGATTCAACAACAACCTTTACAACAGTATCAGCAGAATGCTTCTCAAGTGCCGGGCCAAATCCAACCCCAGACACAGCCTCAATCTGTACCACAACCCCACCTCCTGCCCCAGGCCCAACTGCCTCAACCGTTGCCAGCGCAGGTGCAGTCTCAACAGCAGTCAAACTTGCATCCACTGCCGGTTTCTCAGGCTCCACAGCAGCCTCAGATGCAGATGCAAGTGCAGGTGCAAGGTCCACCTCAGACTCAGGTACAGGGGCAGGTGCCAGTACAAGGTGCTGCAAGCCATCAACTGAACCCAGCTCATCCACCATTGAGGCCGCAGACACAACAGGCCACACTACCCCCACCCCCCCAAGGTCAATCCGGTCCGGCCCTGTTTCCTTATGGTATGCGACCTGCAGCTCAACCTCAGCCCTCTCAGTACCATAGGCCTACCCATACGCCAACCCAATATCATACACCTCAGATACATCCCCAACCTCCCATTCACCAACCCCAACCCCAAGCCCAACCTGTGTCTGTGAACTTGCCTCATGTGCAAACTCAACCTCAAGTGCAGTCTTATCCAACCCCTTCCCCTGCTCCTGCCTATGCACCACAAGCCACAGCGAATCATCAGTCCACCGGTGCTACTGCCCTGCCACCTGCTCCGCCCCATTCATATCAACAACCTGCTTCAACCCAGAAAATACTGCCTGGTTCCTTGGTGCACCAACATCCAGCGGCCCAGGTACATGGTCAAGTCCCACAACAGCCTGGAGTGATGGCACTGCCATCACACCCCCAGCAACAACTACCTACATTGTTGCCTGGGCAAAATCATGTGCCGTTTATCCCAGCTCCACAGCACCAGCAATTGCTGCCTCATGTGACTCACTCATTTCAGAATCGTCCTGTTGCACAGCCAGTTCAGCAGGCTTTGCCTCAGCAATATGGCCAGCAGCAGCATTTTCCAGCTCCATTTCCGGGCCAGGTGAATCAGCAGCAACTACAACCACAGCTGCGCCCTCCAGCCCCTCCTCAACTGCAGCAGCAGGCACAGAATTATTCTGGGAGACCTGTGATGCCAAGCCAGGTGAGTCATTCATTTTCATCTGGTGTTGGAGCTTCTCATCAGGTATCCTCAGCTCAGTTTCTGAAAAACCAGAACTATGTGAAATCTAACCATGAATCTGTGCAAGAAGCTAGATCTCCTTTAAGGGCTCCCTTTGAAAAAGGTGCAGAAGGGGAGATCCTGAAAGAAAAAGCAGCAACTGGACAAATTGAGATAATTTCTGGTGGAGCTGACAATGCTGCAAAGGATTCTAGAAACATGCAAACAATCAAGCAAGAGGACATGCACAGTTCGTTGGATCAACAAGCTGTTGGAAAATCCTTTGATACAGGAGGTATGGTAAATAATGAAGCAGATTCTAATTCGTCGAAGCTAGTGAATCCTGAGAATCAGAAGTTATCAGCTGCCATAGGGCTATCATCTGTTAACTATGGCAAGAACACTCAAACTGGTGTTATTGCTACTGGCACTGAGGGTCCTATTGTACCCCAGCGAAGTACAAGTGCAAGGCCTGAAGTACAAGTGCATGGGCGCCCTTTCTCGGTTCACCCGCCTCAAGGTCAAGGAGCAGGTGGTATGCCACATCCTGGGCAATCTGCCAATCAAGATGAGGGAAGACCACAAGGCTATTATGGCCCACCGAAAGGCTTTGAGCCTCAATCTACTACTCATGGGCCAACATACCCTTCTCAAGCACATCAGCATGGGATTATAGGTAAAGTTCTCCCAAATGATGGTCAAAGGTCAACAGATCAGATGTCTGGTATTGCTAATCAATCAGGCAGTGGCGAAGGGACTGTTAAAAGTCAGGTAGAGGAGCCTACTTTTATAAGAAAGAATGCAGAAATAGCTCCAGAATCCATCTATGGCTCCAAAGACGATAAATCAACTGCCATGGCCAGAGAACATTTGAACCCCTTGACAGGTGAGCCAACTGGTCCTTTTGACTCAGGTGAAATTGAAAGCTTATGATGTTTTAGGTTTGCTTGTTTCTCTTACTGATTCCTTTATCAATCTGCTATTGAATGAGAACCCTGATTTATATTTTTTCATGTATACACACGCATTTAAATTTATGATGGATGCAGCTTCAAGGCCTCTGGATAAAGCACCCCATGGGCAAATGCATGAAGCTGGGTTGAAGATGAATCCAAGTTCCATGGGTCCTCCTAGGTTCTTGCCTCCACATGGTCCTTCTGGTGGGCATGGTAGTGCGGAGATTCTTGGAGGGGGACCTGAATTCGGCCAACATCATCTCAAGCAATTTCCTCGTCGAAGCCCTGGTCAAGAGTACTTTTCTTCCCCACTTGGATTTGGTGATCCTGCCAGTTTTCCCCGTGGCACCTCAGCTTTTGATGACAATACTTCCAGGGAAGTGCATGGTTTTCGGGAAGGGCCTCGGCCATTTAATCTTTCAACTAGTCTACCTAGAAATCCTTTTCATGATGGTAGATTTCCTCCTTTGTCTGGTCACCTTGATGGAACTGGAAACCCTAGATTTGCTGAGTATAGGGCTCCTGGTAATGATGCTGTGTTTGGACAAGATGGTCCACCCCATTTAGGAAGGGGGAAATATTCTGGCCCTGGAAACTTTCCTGGTAATTTTGGCATGCCTGAGTCTGCTGGGCCTGGTGGTTTACCCGTTCATGGTCGTGGAAGAGAAGTAGGAGGTCCAGCAACTTTCCCTCGTCTTCCTTTCAATGAGCCTGTTAGAGGTGACCGATTTGGTCATTTTGGTGACCCCAGCATGCATAACAACTACCCATTTCCAGGATTTCCTAATGCTGGATCTTTCTCTGTAAGTAATAAGTATCCTGGTTTCTATGTTGGAGTTCATATTGTTTATAATAAGCAAGCCTGTCTTCTGTGCTATCTGATTTTATTGCCTTTTTACTTAATATGCTGTTGTCTTGGCAGACTGGCATGGAGTCTTTTGAGCCTTGGAAGAGAAAGCCTGTAAGCAATGGATGGTGCCGCATCTGTGGGGTTGACTGTGAATCAGTTGAAGGACTCGAATTACATTCACAGACTAGGGACCATCAAAAGATAGCCATGGATATGGTCAAGTCTATAAAGATGCAGAACAAAAAGCCGAGGTAAGTAAACATCCAGCAATATGTACCCAAATAAATTGCATGTGGTATCATTGTTTTGGCTGTGGCATACAGAACTGGCGGTCAGACTTTGCATGATGGGGGGAGTAAGAATAGGAAAGCTGGGGATATTGGCCATGGAGGCAACCCTTGAATTGACCTTGTCAGGGGTTGGGCTGAAGCTAAATTTTTTTTATAAGCATGTTTTTCTAAAAATTCAAGAGTATGACTTGTGCTCTTCTTTTCTTTCAGGATGCTGCCGTGATGGTTGAAATATTCTGGGAATGAAGTTCGGTGGCAGCTAGGTTTGTTGGTTTATCATTTTAATATCCTAATTTTCAATTTAGGTTGCTATAGATTGATAAATCATTATAGTTATACTGTAAACTTGCATCTTATTTCTTTTATTGTTTCGGATGATTTTATTCTGGATGCTTATTTCTCTTTCCAGCTCTACTTATTTCATTATTGGATCAGCATGGTTCAGGAGCAAACTTGGTCTGAGGTTGAACTTTCTGTCGTGTTTGGCAATGCTTATGGTGTAATGTTTATGATAGGATGCTACATCACTTTGGAACTCTTGATGAGAGTGGGAGGATGTATATTTTGAAAACATGGTACTTTTATTTGGTTGGATGTTTATGAACTAAGTTACAATCATTTGCCCCATATGCTTTTTTGTGAATTGGAAGATCCTAGGCAATATTATACATAATAATTTATTTAATAGTCTCGCTTCTGCAATAAAGGTTATAATTAGAATGGAATAACTGGTAAGTTTCAAAATATTTTTGGGAGTTGGTTGTTCAATTGCAATTGAAATATATGTGGATGATCAGAGGAATCTGAAAATAACTGAACTGAATTTAATGTGTCCTAGATAGAAAATATATCTCCTTTCTTATGAAGAGTAATGATAAGCCCGGAATCCTGGTTGATTAACTTGAATACTGTGTATGACTTACAAAACCACCTATACTTTTCACTTCAAAATGGCTAGGGTGACAGTATGGTAATGGTGACTGAAAATGGGTAAATGTTCCAGGGTTTTTTCTACTATAAAAAGTATTGTTTCCTGTATCTGAACTAATAGATAATAATACATTCTAAACGAAGTATTGGCTCTAGGTGTTTTCTTAAACCTCTGTATTTATTAGCGATAATTGAGTTAATTTGGCTGCTAGACGGCCAGTGCCATGAAACCCCAAAAAAAACAATAAAAAATAAAGGTGTATGGATGTTGCAATTGGCTAAGTAAACACTTTGTTTGATTAGCTATTGGGCTAGAACCTGGAAGATCTCTCGTACTGATTTGGGTGGATGTAATACTCCCATCTTTTTATCACTACAGTTTATTTTGGATGGTTTACTTTTTATTCCATCTCCCTAAATTAGCAGTTTGATTCCCTTGAATGTTGATCTTAGTCTAAGAACAATAATCATATATATAATATTCAATCTCTAATTTAGTGATAACTGCCTTGAAAAACAATGTTTATGCCAAGGATTATAATAATTATGAAGTATTGGAATTGGCTAAGTAAACAATTTTCTTGATTAACAGTTGGACGGGAATTCAGCAGCTTTCTTGAACCATTTTTTATCTCTCCAATTTAGTAGTGTGATTCCCTTGAACGCTGATCCTTGTCCAAGAACACATACTTTATAATAATATTTAATCTATAATTTAGCAATGATTGCCGCGAACATTGATGTTTACTCCCAAGAAATTAAATTATGAGTTCATATTTAATTACACCCTAAATCCTAAACCCCAAAAGTCATTTTTAAATTAGTACTGAGAAAATTAATTGGACAGTCAAATAGATGTGGGCGAGTTTTGACTTGATGCTGATGAAAATTATTTGAGTATATCAAATAATAACCCTTGAAAAAATTATTGATCATAATTGGACCCTTGATTATGCCGCAATGTTTAAGAAACATTTATTACTATTTTGAAATATAAAGGAAGTTCTCAAATAGTATGACTGGCCTGCCACATGTAATTTGTGACCAGTGTACTCTTCAAAATGTAAACTATTTAAGTAAATGCGAGGTGCTTATATAGATTAACATTCTTTTAAGTAGAATAATGCCACTGGATGTGTTTGACAAGTGTCAGCCAATATATCATGGCTTAATTCGTCATGGCTCACTATTTTGTCCTCTTCTGGTGGTGGTTCTATCTTATTAAATGCTACAATAAACTGCGCAAGTGCAAGCGTGAGCATGAAATCCTCAATGATCTCTTAACTTTCTACAAATAGTATGCCACATGTAATTGTGAAAAGTGTTAAAACTAACTTTTGGCGCCATTGTACTCTTTAAAGTATTAGAATACAAAATGAACCCTACATGCAAGTAAGAAGAGTACTCCTCAAGTATGTTCATACTTCTGTAGAGTTATATTTACTTCTTTAGGTATTTGACAAGTGTCAAACCAACAGTATTGCATTAGAATCTTTGTGGTTCACTAGCTTGTCCTTTTCTGAATGTGCAAGTGTGAAGATAAAATCATTAATGCCCTCTTAACTTTTTACCAATAGGATGCCACATGTAATGTGTGAAGCATTTAACTGACTTTTGCCACCATATTACTTAAATATCATAATACAACATGAATACTCTACATCTAAATAAGAAGCGCGCCCCTTAAGTATGATCACACTTCCCTAGGGTTATCTTTAGTTGTTTGACAAGTGTCACAGTATTGCATTAGACTCTTCTTGTTTCACTAGCTTGTCTGTGCAAGAGGACAATATCCTTACTGTCTTTAGCTTTTTACAAATAGTATACTAAATGTAATTTGTGAAGTATTAAACTTACTTTTGGCTCCATTCTTCAATATTAGGACACAAAATGAATACATTACATATGAATAAGAAGTTTGCTCCTTTTGTGTGATCACACTTATGTATGGTTATAATTTGCTTAGTTTAGGTATTTGACAAGTGTCAAACCAATAGTATTGCAATAGGCTCTTTGTGGCTCACTAGCTTGTCCTTTTCTAGATGTGTGAGTGTAAGGATAAAATCCTTAATACTCTCTTAACTTTGTACAAATAGTATGCCACATGTAATGCGTGAAGCATTAAACTGACTTTTGGCGACAGTTTTACTCTTCAAAATATTAGAATGCGATATGAATACCCTACACAATAATAAGAAGTGTACTCCTTAATTCTGATCATGCTTCTGGCGGGTTATATTTTGCATCTTTTGGTATTTGACAAGTGTCAAACCGATGGTATTGCATTAGACTTTGTGGTTCACTTGCTTATCCTTTTTCTGGTTGTGATCCTAGCTTGCTAAAAATATTGTGATAATAAATTTACAACTAAAAATGTAATGTTTAAAGAGGCTCTCTAATCTTTGAACTGGCATGCCGCATATAATTGTAAACTTAAGTATCACATGGAAGATTGATGCCAACGTACCCCAAAAAACTTGTAACATGAAAATTTTAGATGCTTTGGCACTCTGGTGAAATATGCTTATTCTTTCAAGTGAAACTATGCTTCCACATTGTTTTATTATGCTTGTGTAGGTGGTACTAAATAGGGTGCTTAACTTATATATCTTAAATTTGACCCCCTTTTGGTACACAATCCTTTCCTTTTATGGAGGTTGTTCCAGCTTGTTACTAATGCAATAATAGTTCTGTATATATAGCATGCTCTTCTTAAGTGAGATCACGCTTCATATGTTGTGTTATACCCCTGTGGATATTTGACAAGTTTCAGATCTGTTGTCTTGTATGAACCTCTTCTCATGCACTATCTGTCTTCTCTGGAAGTGGGTCCAGCTTACTAGATAGTGTGAAAATGAATTGTGCTTATTGGAGTACAAAGATAAAAAGCGCTGACCGAAGCTCTCTGACTTGTAGAATTTAGTGTCTCTCTAACCTATTGACTCAATTGAAGGGGTTGTCAAAATTCTTATCTATGGTGGGAAAAAAGATAATCACTACAATGAGATTGCTTGCATTTAAATCCTTTGGGTCTTATCTGTTTCTAATGTGCTCCCTGACCCCTATGGAATATTTCTCAACCATCTGAGCTAAATAAGGAGAGTAGTGTAATAACACATAAAAGGTGGCTGCATAACACAAACTGGCAATTGAACTGAGAATTGGATGGAATGACTTGAACTCTAGTTTCCGCCTCTTAGGAGAATCTGTTGTATTTGTAATGTTATGTGTTTCATTAATATTTTGTATATTCTTAATATTGAATGCTTTTCTGTTTTCTTAGACAAGATTAATTGCGGCGTGAAATATCGCCAACACTGCAGTGTTTATCTATTATAGGGAATCTGATGCCTATGATTGCCGAGAAAATGTAGACCAGAGTGTTGTGGATAGGTTTCCATATTTTATGGTCATAATGTCCTGAAGAAGTATGTGAGTGTTTCAATTCAAAGGCCACTAGGATTCTTGTGTTTTGTGTAGATTGCATAGTAACGAGCCATCAATGTTACTGTGTTATAGTTTGTGGTTTTTAGTTACCAGGCGAGCTTTAATTCAGTGTAATGCTTATGAAACTGTACTGAAAGTTCTGTTCATAAAAATACATAGGTATACATATATTTTCTAAAAACTGTACCCCTATGAAGAATTCTGGAGCATGATGTGTTGTCACTTGTCCAGCCTAAATCGTTGTAGCTGTGGCTGAGATACTGAGATGAACAGATTAATGGAATTGAATATCAGCTAAACACTTAGTTGAGTTATTCAGCGCTAAAATAGCTTCAAGCAGTTTCAAGATTTGTTACCAGCATGTTACCTTCCCATCATCTTAGGAAATATACTAATTTTTTTTTCTCTACCTATAATGATGAGTATTATATATATATATTTGCTTGGGATTGCCCATTCTACATTTGATCATTCTCAAATTTTAGGATACTTTTATTTCCAAGCTTTGTTTATTTTCTTTCCTTTTTGTTTTTTTTAATCTTCTGTAGTTCAAGACGTTTCCTGATCATTGTGACATTGTTATATCAGAGTAAGATTCGAAGTTGATTTTTCTTCTGGTTGAAATTTCTCTATAATAGATCATTTCAATTCGACCTTTCTTTCTTGGGGAAGCAGACGAGAAAAAAGGCTGAAAGTTAAGCAGGATGATTGATCGCTTTCAAATGGGGTAAGATAATGTGGTGCCCTGTGTGAGTTTGTCAAAGTGTTTGTCATGTTTTAATTCTTTTTTTTTTCTTTCTATGCTGCCTTCATACATTTTCTATTTTGTAGGTCTGTACTTCTTTCTGGGTAGATCTCGTATGCCTAGCCATAGAATGCATAGTCTTGTCTTTTTGTCTGAGACTCAGCGACGAAATAGCTTCAATAGAAAATAGACATCTGGATATGTCATTATTGATTATGCGGTCAGTTTCGCTTTTTCCTATTTGTTGGTGGAAATCAAGTGAAGTAGATTGGTCGATATAAGTTAGGGTTTGCTACTTCTTCTGAACTCCTGTCTTTTGAACGGCAGAAAGTAGCCTGTAGGTTAGGGTGCCAGTTACCTTAGAGGTATTTTGATGTTTTTATGGGGTTTTCGTATGTGAAAAGTGTGACAGTTTAGATGATATACAGGTGAGAATTCGGATAACTATACGTAGAAGGTGTGCCTTAGGACCCTGCTCTATATTCTTCCGCAGATGCTATAAAAGACTATTAGGGTGTGTTTGTTTGTGGGTTTTAGTTTTTGGGTTTGAATTTTTGAATAGTAAAATGTGAATTTGAATAGTTTTTTAATGTGATATAAATTGAGGTTGATGTGATGTTTTGAATCTAAAATAAATTTGTAGTATAATATAAAAAAAGAAAAGTAATTGTTTAATGTGATATTTTTTGAGGTAAAAAAGAATCTGAATAGTAAAAACTTATAGGAAAATCCACAAAAGAACACAATCTTAGTGTTTGAACTATACTTCAATCTACCCTAGTGTTCAACATCTTTTCTTTTAGTTGTGTAATTTTTTAGGTGCCGATGTCTTGAATGTTAATTGCTCTATGAATTGTAAGATTTCTACCATAATTTTGATTCAACTTTTACTTTTCTACCATGGAAGTTTTCTCGAGAACCTTATTTTTCATATTATCTGTCTAGTGATTTTGAAATTCACCCTTGCAGCGTAGGATCAGTACGTACAACCAGTTTTGTCGAGTCATTTACTGTTAGCACATGCACTGTCGTATGAATTGCTTTCATCCTCCTTAGTACTACCCATGATATCCACTACCTTGGTAATTTATCATTTGTATTTAGTTGGGCAATTTTACATGTTAATATGAAGTAAATGCTTGGATTGATTTACTTAAAAGTTACATTAATATATATAGTTAGATAATGTCTGTGCTATCAGTTGTTGCTTAATGGAAAATCTGTCTAAAACACAATATATGGACTTTAATCTCACCCCCACCCTACCCCACCTCGCTCCTGCTCTTAATGTTTGATTGATATCTGGGACTAATGTTTGTTCGGGAGGAGCTTCTCTCGTTTTGTTTCTGTTGTGTTGTGGCTTTTGTAGGTGTTTTTGGCTGTCGTTTAGTTGCCATTTTTGGTTGCTTCAAGTATCTCGACCAGTCAGTTGGCGGGGCTATGCAATTGCAATGTGCGGTAACTCTTCCTTGGTAGTTGTTTCCTTTTGTTGTTATATTGTAAAATTTTGTATCTGTAACATCAATCTAAACATTTGAATAAATAAGGAGTTATCGATCAATCAATCTCTATTTTATTATATTTATAATTATTAGCTGATTTGAAGTGGTTGGTGTCGCCACAATAATGATTTTTATGGTTTATGATTGATGAATTTGTTGAGAATCAAAAATCATAACTACACTTTTCAATTTCGTAATAATAATATTAATTTTGAGATTGAAATGAAAATTTGGAGGTTATACTTTTTTTCTAGTGTTTTTGTCATGCATATTTGATAAATTGAAAAAGTGGTAAAGCCGAGGGGGGAGGTTGCAGAACAAGTGTATTTTTTAAAGTGGTATGGAATAATGCGCTTATCTGTCTCATGACGTTTATTGTTGGAGTATTTTTCGCCTCGCGCGTGCATCTGCATTTTTTAAAAGATTATCGTTCTGTTCTTTCAAATATTGATTTTTAATTGCGATTTTCTGATTTTTAATTACTATTTTCTAAAAATAATACTCTTTTTTTTTTTTTTTTTCTGTTTAATGTATCATTTTTATTAATTTTCTTTAGTTACACTTGAAAGTATTACTTTTCTGTTTTAAAAAAAGTAATTATATATACTAATAATTAAATATTTTTTATTTTACTTAAATTACAAATATATCATAATATATATAAAATATTATACATAAAATGACAAAAATATTAAAATTTTTACACACTTCAAATAATTAGTAAAATACTATAATTTTTTAATTTACTAAAAATTTTTAAAAAACAGAGAAAAAAACATAATATTTTTTACAAAAATTAAAGAATAATATTCTCTTTGTTTCATATTTATATATCAATTTGCTTTTTGTACGGAATTTTAGAAATGTTAGTATTATATTTGGATAAAGTAGAAATAAAGGTAAACAAATTTAAATTAACCTTATTAGTATTGTATGATATAAAGTAATGACATTTGCATAATATATTGTAAATTTGAAGGGTATTTATAATGTTAGGTAGATAGTACAATTACTAGAAAAATGAAATAGATACTTTGTTACAAATAAATATATTGTTAAGGGACGGAGAGAGTAATAATAATAAAAAACTTCAAAAACTTATTAAAAAAGTAAAATCAAATATGAAAGAGAGTGAGTACTATTTTTACTATAAAATTTTATTCAATGCTATATGATCCTCCGTCCTCTCATATATGGGATAGAGTGAATATTATTTTTACTACTAAATTCGTCCGGCTCAAAGGGTTTCATTTACTTTTTGCGTGTTGATATTTGAATATTAATTATTATATGAAAATATAAGTACAAATTAAGGGAAAATAACAAAAATATTTTTATTAGTGTCTTATAATATTATTACAATGACATTTGTGCAAAAAATTATACAAATGCGAAGATATTTTTAATGTTAAGTACAATGACGCAAAAGGTAAATGAGACCTTTAAAGTCAGACAAAGAAGTATATAAAAATTATTCAATACAATATGATATACCGATTTTTACCAAGCAACTAATAGATGTATTTATTTTTTTATTTGTATTATGTCGATATAATAATTAAGTGAATTTTACCCTTAATTATAAATGTTTCTATTTTTACACTTACTTACTATCATATCATCACTTTATTATACATTTATATCCAAAATAATAAAAAAAAAATTTAATTATTACATCTAATGACTAGAAATTAACACAATTAAAATACACATAACAATTTACAATACTAATGAAATAAAAACTAAGGAAGAGTTCCTAACTTTCACATTGATTTTTTTTTCTTTTTTTTTTCTTACCTAAGAATTGTGCGTAAAAGGTCTTTAAATGATAAATACTAAAATATTTTAGATCATAGGAGTCGATACTTCATAAAAATAGTACTCACTCCGTCCCAAACATCCTGCAACATTTTTTTTTTGTTTGTCTCAAACTCACTGCAACATTTCTAAATTAGAAATAATTAGGGTGATGAGGTCAAGGAGGCCGTCGTGCCACCTAAGAAGTTGGAGGGTATCCTCAAGGAATTCAAGGATGTGATGCCGGACGAGTTACCGAAGGGGTTGCCGCCTCGACAAGCGGTTGACCACGCCATCGACTTGGTGGAGGGTGCAAAGCAGGTATCTCAACCGCCGTACCGGATGTCGCCCGATGAATCAACCGAGTTACGGAAGCAATTGGGGGAACTTTTGGGAGCAAAGATAATTGTCTCGTCGAAGAGCCCTTTTGGTGCACCGGTGCTCTTTCAACGGAAGAAGGATGGGAGTCTCCGCATCAGAAGAATCATGGTATGCACTTCCGTGTAATATTTATATATATATATATTTCACTTTATCTTATCACATCACTTAAATAAAAAAATAAATAATCATTTTTCTCTCTAATCACATCACTTAATATCAAAATTATCTCAAATCACCATATTTAATACTCTCCACCTAAATTCCCGTGTCAAACACAAATGTTGCATGGTGTTTGGGACGGAGGGATTATATGTTAACATGAGTATTTTGATACTTTTACATAAAATAATACTCTCTCCGTCAAATTTTAAAAATATATTTATTTTTGGGGTGTGTTTGTTTGGGGGTTTGGATTTTAAATTGGGATTTGAATAGTAAAAATTTTGAATTTGAATAGTTGTATGATGTGATATAAATAGTTGTTGATGTGATGTTTTGAATGTAAAATTGATTTTTAGTATAATAAAAAAATAAAAAATAGGTGTTTGATTTGATGTTTTTGGGGAGAAAAATATGATGAATAGTAAAAATGTAATCCAATCCCCCAAACAAACACACCCTTGGTGTGAAGTTTAAAAAATAAGAGTATTTTAATTGTAGTGAGTAGCTAAAGTAGTATAAATAAAATTTTGTCCTTATTATAATTTTTTGTGTAAAAGTAAACGATGTGATGGTAAAATAGGAATATTTGTTGAAAAAAATAGGTCCACACTTATTAAAAAAAATAATAATTATTATTATTTTGTAATTAGACAAACCAAAATAAAAATATATACTTAATAAGCGGATAGAAATAGTAGAATTTTAACATTGTGGTTTATCGAATAAGGAAATTCTATCTTTTATTTGTGGATGCCATAGATGACAATGTATGGTTATTATTAGAAGAAAATAAAAATTCCCACAACAAAATAGTATTGACTAAATATATAAAATTTTAAACAATAGCACCGATTTTATTTTATTTTCTACGTCATGAAAATAATTAAGTTAGCATATATATATATATATATATATATTATCATTCACACTCAAATATGACAAAATGGATGTCAAAGTGTTCAAATTAGCGGTCGCACATTTCATACTTATAATAATATTAATAATAGTCGGCTAGTGTGATTTTTCTGTCGGGCCTGGTTT